TTACAAGCCCGCCCACATCGCCACCACCTGCGGTCGGCATGCAAGGAGGTCAGCCGGGAGCAAGAAGTTCACATGTGAAGAGACCAAGTTTGACGACATGGCGGGCTTCGACTCAGCAGGTGCGTCCGAACCTCCAGACATTGCACTAGTAGAAGTCTCAGTTGGGAAGAGGGGAGGGGGGGCAGAGGCTACCTGCCCGGGCGAGTCTGCACTTTCACGTTAGAGAAACGTGACTGTATGATTCAGTCCTTTCGCTCTTCCGTACAAGAGCGATCCGAACAGCTAGGAGTCAGATGCTGGCTTGTCTTGTGTGTTGAATGCTGGTAATGAAATCGTAAGGGACTGAGAGGAGAGCTTGAGTGTGTGAGGCTGTCTAGTATCAATTTCCGGGATCAGATCCCATTATCTCGAGTGTCTGCATGCGTACAAGCACAGGATGTGACTTGCCGTCGACCGTTCCATCACGACAGCCCTTTGAATACGAAGCTAGATTCTCATTTTCTCCTCCTCCATCCAACCGCATCTGCCGAGCATCGAGTCCTCCTTCCATCCTTCCTCTGATCCTTCCTGCCCTTCCTTGACCCTCTCCTCCTCCTCGCCCTCCTCCTCCTCCTCCTCCTCCCCTTCCTCTCCCCTCCCCTCCCCCGTCTCTTCCTCCATCTCGCCCAGCAGGATCACGCGGGTAAGTTGAAGGTAAACTTTGAAAACTTTGAGCCGAAGTTTGAATGTTGTGCTGAAAGTTTTCAAAGTTTCCTTCTTGGAGTACCCCTGCTTCGACTACCCCTTACCCATCACCCTTTGTACCTCTACCCCCCACCCCCTACCCCCCATTCTACTAAGGCTCAACCCTATTCCTCAAATCTTCCTCCGGTGGTTCATAACAGTCTCCTTATTTTTCAATATTTAACTATACGTTTGAAATAATTTCAGAGTGCCCGCTGATAAAAAAAAACCGAGCCCCGCGTGCGCGTGGAGTAGGTCGCCATGGGCAAGCACACTAAGAAGGTGAGGAGGATGATGGCGATGGCGATGGCGATGGCGACGAGGAGGAGGAGGGAGGAGATAGCATGAAGAAGATGATTTTGCTTCTTATGTTGTTGCTGATGATGTGAAGATGTGAGGAAGAGAAGTTGACTGATTATGCTGCAACGATGTTTTGATGTGAACACGAGAACGAGGATGGGAGTTGTGGTCGTGTTGCGGCAGTGGTGTTGTTTTCACCGCTAAAGAGCAAAGTTCTTGGCAGCGAGATGACGAGTGTGGTCTGCTCGGAGAGGGAGGGAGACTGAACGCAGAGTAGAAGAGTTGAACGTCAGAATGTGGTGCTTTCACGAGGTTGTGGATGAGAATGGGTGGTTTTGCCTCTGTTCTGTGTCGTGCTCAAGTAGCTCAAGTTTGGTCTGCGTTATGTGCAGCCATGCGCGAGCTCTTGAGTCAACGCGTTGGAGGAGATTTCTGAACCGGCGAAGAGGAGCAGTTAAAAGAGCAATGCGGTTGGGGGGACGGGACTGGGAGATAAGTGGGTTCGACCATGGGGTTGGTTGTGAGAGACAGCTGTGTGAACATGTCAATGGCATGCTGTATGTAATGAAGTGAAAGGATGTGAAGGTTGTGATCATGACTGGATACTTGCCTCTTGTTTGCCGGTGTATGTAGTTGTGTATCCTTGTTTGCTGTCCTGTCTGTGCTGGGCCGATACTTGGACGTTGCAGCGAGAGGAAGAGGAGCGGATTCATGAGAGGGAGAGGAGGAGGAGAGGAGGATTACTCCATGTTGGGACGTACGGGCGCTGACTCGTCGTGCTTAGGTTCACATCACTGGTAAGTACGGAACCCGTTATGGTGCTTCCCTGAGGAAACAGATCAAGAAGATTGAAATCACCCAGCATGCCAAGTACACCTGCTCATGTTCGTCCTTGTCCTCTTCCCGTGTGCCGTTGTTGTGAACGTGGTCGTGCAGTCTGCGGAAAGGATAGCGTGAAGAGACAAGCTGTCGGGATCTGGAAGTGCGCGTCCTGCAAGAAGTGCATCGCCGGCGGAGCCTACACTCTTAACACTGTGAGATGACAAGGATGTTGTTATGATGATGATGATTATCACTTGAATGTCTTTGTTATCATGATGATGATGATGATGATGATGATGATACTTGATTCTGTCTAGGTTTTGTTCTGACACTGTGACAGCCTACTGCTGCTACCGTTCGCTCTGCCATCCGTCGTTTGAGAGAGTTGGTCGAGGCATAAGTTTTCCGTGTTATGTCGAGGCAATAAAGTGGAAAAACAAAACATGTGGTGAAACTTGAGGTCTTGTGCGATGTTAAATCGTGAGATCATCTATCGCTCCCATCCCTCGCTTGTTGTTTCATGTTGGTTTGCATCAGGTTTGATGACATGGAACAACAGAAATATTCTGACTTTTCATGTCATGAGATTGCTTTCATCCTCTGAAGCTCCTCTGCGAGACGATCCACGACCTGCACCATGTCAGTGAGCAGAGGACCAGGAGAAAGGGAGAGAATGGACCTGCTTTATGTACACACAATCGCACTCAAAGGTGTTTTCCTGGTATCTGTCCCTGTAGAACTGAAGATGCCGAGTCAGTGACGGGCGGTCAGGCAATGAGAGAGTTCAGTGAAGAGAAAGGTCATGTTTGCCAGGAATATAGATGCACTGCAGGATGGATGGCTGGATGGATGGATGGATGGATGGATGGAGGGAGGGAGGGAGGAAGATGAATTTCTGAGCTCATTGAATGTCGACCTGGAGGAGTCGCTGCGCTGCCCCCGTCCTCTGCCTGTTCCACAAGCTCTCCAGGTCGCTGGTGGACTGGAAGAAATTCTCCGAGAAGAAGGAGGGTCGAGATCTCTTGTCCTCCTGCCCAACATCTTTAGTTGAGTTTCCCCTCGTTACCGCTGTTGGTGTTGGTGTTGGTGTTGGTGTTGCTGCTCCTCCTCTTCGTCCTCCTCCTCTTCCCCTCCCCTTCCTAACTATCTTCCTCCTCGTCCCCTCATGCACCCGATCCTGCTCTTCGTTGTGCACCCCCTCCGCCCCACCTCCCCCCCCCCCCCCTCGCTTCCTCGACTCGATCCCTCAGCCTCCTCACGCTCGTCACCTTGGGGACGTGGCAGGACGACAGACACTCTACGATGAGGCTCAGGGCGACCTGCGAGGCTCTCAGAGGCGACGAGGAGCCACCAGCTCCCTTACCTCGCTCATGCGCATGATGCGACGAAACTGCATGTCCACGGCCTGAAACTGTTGGAAGCAGGCGCGTCAGCTCCTCCCGTAGCAAACTGCCGGGACGCCCGTCCTCGTCCACTCACCTGGAACTCCAACGATCGTCTCTTATGCCTCGTCTCCATGTCGTCCTGCATCTCTGTCAGAAATCCTTCCTCCTCCCCTTCCTCCTCCTCTCCTCCTCCCCTTCCTCCTCCTCCTCCTCCTCCTCTTCTTGAACCTCGTCGTCATCCTGCGAGATCCTCTGCTGCTGTAGATCACAATATCTGCGACATAAGGTGAGCATCTCCCACCTTGCCCTTCACATCTCCCTCTTCTCCATCCCAGCGCGCCTGTCTCCTCCTCCTCCTCCTCCTCCTCCTCCTCCTCCTCCTCCTCCTCCTCCTCCTCCTCACCTCGACCAGAAGCTCATAGCTCCTCCGCTCGTCAGCCTCCCGCTGCTCCTCCCGTCGGTGATGGCGAGGCCCTTGTGGGCGGTTCCCATCCACGCGTCTCCTCCACATCCACACAAGTGCTCCACGATCTGCAGGCGAAACCTCAACGGACCATATTGTCTTCCTCCCTCTCTCTCTCCCTCCCTGCCTCTCTTGTTGTATCCATGAGGAGCTGCCTTCTCATCATCTCTTTCTACAGCTTCTTCCTTCCTCTCCCCTCGTCCTCTCTTCCTTCCTCACCCTGCAGAAGAAGCTGATGAGCGACTCCATGCCGAGGTCCTTCTTGCTGCTCGAGCTCTCCCACAGCATCGCGCGATTCTCCCGGCTCGGGAGGATGCGGAGGCAGTGGAAGGGCGAGACGAGGAGGCGAGAGGGGTCCTCGGAGGAGACCCACCCCACCCCGCCAGCTCTGAGGAGGAGGAGGCGCATGATGAGCTCAGACGTCTGCAGCATGTGCACCGCCTTTCTCGCGCCCTTGGAGAGCTTCTTGGAGGGCAGCGACGAGAAGTTCCCCAGCCATCCAGCCGACGGGTCGCCCGCCACGTGCTGCCAGAAGGAGGACTTGGAGCACTCGAGGAAGAGCACGGAAGCAAACTCCCCGATCCAGTCCAGCAGCTTCCCGTCCAACTCCCTTGACATGTTCACGTACTTGCTCCACTTCTCAGCCGCCGCCGCCGCCGCTGCCGCCGTTGCTGATCCTCGTCCTGCTGCTGCTGCTGCTGCTGCTGCTGCTGATCCTGCTCGGGGCACTGTACCACCCGCTGTCCCGTTCTGCAGAGCGGAGGCTTCTTGCTTCAGGCTGAACCCTCCCATCTTCTCTATCAGGAGCACAGCCTCCACCACCAGCCGCCGCTCCTCCACCAGCTCCCCCAGCTCCTCCCCGGGGGCAACGCCATCGTTGCTAGACGCGGCGAGGAAGAGCTCGCGGAGGAGCAGCTGGTGGTTCCAAAGAAACTGTAGGGCAGGCAGCAGAAGCGCGCTCCCCTCCGCCGCGTCATGCAGGAGGGCGACGAAGAGTTTGAGCGTTGGGAGGAGGAGGAGGTGGAAGCGCTGGCAGAGGACTCCTCCTGTCCCGTCGGAGCGGAGGAGCGAGCGGACCTGACTCTCGCTCGTGATGTGGGAGCGGAGAAAGGAGGCTCTCGCCAGCTTCTGCATCACTTTCCCCTCGGTCAGCTCCGACAGCCCCTCGGGGTCCTGTGCCAGCTGCAGGAGGATCGAGACTTTGCAGGTGAAGAGAAGGAGGAGGGGCTGCCGCTCCTCTGTGCGCGTCACGTCCAGCACCTCCCCGAGCTGAGAATGTCCGTCCAGGTCGTCGGTGAGATGGTCCACAAGCGAGAAGTGCGCGATGATGCCTCGCAGAGACAGCGAGTCTCCTGCTCCTTCCCCTGTCTCCACGGAGGAGCCCTTGCTCCGTCGCGATGAGCAGGGAAGGATAGACTGGATGACTCCAAGTGCGAGGGCCCTGCTGTCCTCCTCCTCTCCCATCGGCTTGTCGTGGCGGACGGCGATGTCGGCCAGCGCCACCTGGAGGAGCGAGAGCTTGTGCTGCTTCATCACCCTCTCCACATCTCCCACCCTCCGCCCCGACGGGCCCGGGGTGGCAGCGAGCGGCTCGCTGGAGCTCCTGAGAAACTCGAGGAGCTTGAGGATCGCAGCGTAAAGGTCCCCGCGCAGGGCGACGCTGCTCCTGGCCTGCGTCCTCATCGGGAGGGCCATGATGAAGTCCAGGAAGCCGAGGAGGGAGGAGCGAACCTTGCTGGCGCTCGAGGGGTCGCGGCGGGAGGAGGAGGCGACGGCCGCGATGACGATGCTGAGGCAGCGGATAAGGTGGGAGGCGACCTGCGGCTGCGAGAGGGAGGTCTCGACCCTCCTGAGGAGGTCCAGGAGGTCGAAGAGGAAGACGTGGTAGTCCGGTGGCTCCAGCCGAAGAATCGCGCTCATGCTCCCCTGGAACAGCACCTGCTCCAGGACGTCCTGCAGGCCGCACAGCAGGTGCTCCCTCGCGCTCCTGCAGCGTCGGACCGTGTTGTAGCCGTCGTAGGGGCCGAGGATGCGCTTCCTGATGTAGTGCTCCGCCAGCGCGTCCAGCAGCTTCTCGTTCCTCTCCCCGTCCACCCGTCGGCTCGACAGGACCTTGAAGAGCCGGTCTTGCATCCTCTTCTCGTCGCACATGAGCAGCATGTCCGTCCACCGGTCCACGGGCCTCGTGCAGTCCTGGATGTCCGCGTCCTCCAGCAGTTCCGGCAGCGCCTCGGAGTCATCCATCTCCACGTCTGGCACGTCGATGGCCTCCACGAGCAGCAGCTGGAACTTGCCCCTGCTCCACACGGGGAAGCTGCGCTCCCCGAGGCCTCCTAGAAGGCTGCTGGCGTTCCCATACCCCCCCGAGTACTCCGACTCCCCGAATAGAACCTGCAGGAGTTGCTGCACGTCGTCCCTAGACACGCCCCCCCTCTGCCTCGAGGACGCGGCCCCCTCCTCCAGCGACGAGCGGGAGGTCGCCAGCAGCACGGCAAGGATCCTCATGTACCATCCGCACACGTGGAAGAACTTCATGCTCCACTCCAGCACGTCCTGCAGGCACTTTTCCTCCTCCTCGATCGCCCAGCGGAGCTCCATCAGCTCCACGAGCAGGTCCAGCTCGGACGAGTCCCGGTGCACCCCCGACGAGGACATGTACTCGGGGATCTGCCGCACCCACTCCTCCTCCGCCTCCTCGTCCGGCTTGTCCCTCTTCCCGCTGTCCCACAGCTTCTCGAAGGGCATCCCTTGCTCCCTCTCCTTCCTCCCCAGCTCGCCTCCCCCCAGCAGGTCCTTGATGTTGCTCCTCACCGCCTTGATCACTGCGTTCTGCCGCTGGAACAGGTCGAAGGGCATGCTCCTCCCCAGGCTCACCAGCAGCCCGTCGGTCTGCAGCCTCTTGCCCTCCCCTCCTCCGGCTCCCTTCCCCTCCACCCTCCTCGGCTCCATCAGGTACTGGATCGTCGCCTGCCGAGTCCCCCGGTGCATCGTGAGGCGGAAGAAGATCTCCATGCACTGCTCCCTCCTCTGCATGTTCCCCTGCAGCAGCGCTCGGCTCTCCATGCTAGCCTCCACCTCGTTCTCCATCATGCTCGTCTCCTGCCCCCTCCCCCCTCCCTGAAAGACCATCTGGTTCAGCATCTCCCACTCGCTGCTCCACCGCTGCGTGTCCGCGCACAGCTCATAGAGGACGTTGAGCAGGCGACACGCCGGCGCCATCCTGTTGAGGTCCGTCTCCCCCATCTGGAAGCAGTCGAAGCCCAGCAGGTAGTGAGCTGTGCAGCACTCGTCCTCCACGTGGCTCAGCGAGTCGAGGAGGAGCTGTAGGAGGCAGCCGGACACCTGCGGGTTCGCCTCGGGCGACTGCAGCCACGATCCGAAGGAGACGATGATGTGCTCTCTGAGCGAGCCCCGGCATCGCTCGCGAGGATCTGGAACACCTCCTCGTCCTTCTCCTTGCAGATCAGCTGCAGCAGCTGGATCGCCATGCCCGCCAGCGTCGGCTCCTCTTGCAGGGCTGCATAGCACATGAGGGTGACCAGGAGGCTCGACGTCTTGCGCCCGCTCGTTCGGCTTCTCCCTCGCTCTGACAGCACGGCGTCCACCAGCGCAAGCGTGTAGTACTGCTCGATGGACAAGCAGATGGAGAGAGCGACGTGGAAAAGGCGAAGAGCCATCTCTGCGACAATGTCAGCAGGAGCACCCTCTCTCCCTCCTCCTGCTCCTCCTCCTGCTCCTCCCACCCCCCTCCACTCCCCCCACCATTTCTATCTCCTCCTCCTGCTCCTCCCCCCCTCCCCACCCCCCCACCCCCCACCATTTCTATCTCCTCCTCCTGCTCCTGCTCTTCTCCTCAACCCCCTCCTTGCCTCCTCGTTTCTCACCAATGGTGCTGGCAAGGTGCGGCAGCTCACTCTGGATCTCACTCTCCTCGGCGATCTATAGAGGAATCAGCACCAACACACTCAGCATCCTCCTCCATTGTTTCCCTTCCTCCTCCCTTGTTTCCCTTCCCCCTCCCTTGTTTCCCTTCCTCCTCCCTTGTTTCCCTTCCTCCTCCCTCGCTCCTCCCTCGCTCCCGCCTGCCTTCCTCGCTCGCTCAACCTCTTCCCCTCATTCCAACTCCTTCTCCTCCGTTTGTCACCTGCAGCCCGAGCACGAGAATGCTCAGCACTTGCGAGCGGAGGCTCCAGCCACCGTTAGCCACGTCACTCTCGGAGAGCACGATCCAGGACAGGACCTGCAAGCACACGCTCACTCAATGGATGTCTTCCCTTCCTCCACCCTTCCTCCTCCATTTTTCCTCCTCCCTATGTCTGCCTCCCTTTGTCCTCCGCCCCTCCCCTGTACCTGGTCAAACAGCGGCCTCCCGCCATGCAGCGACCAGTCGCTCGATCCGCTCCTCATCGTCTCCATCATCGTGTTGAGGAAGGTGACCACAAGGCGCAGAACCGCCGTCGACACCTGCCACCGGTGGCTCGCGTTCAAGAACGAGCCCCCGTTGCTCTGCGACGCCTCGGCCGGCGGCAGCAGCGCGATGCAGCTCTGGAGCACCTGGATCGTGTTATCCCTGTACGGGATCTCCCGCTCGAAGATGGTGTTGAGGAGGCGGAGGAACGAGAGGGTGTGACTGTACGTCCCCCTCCTCCTGTCGATATCCAGGAACTCAACGTAGAAGGCTGTCACTTGCCCTGCCGTCCACTGCTGCCTCATCTGAGGGTGCTGGTCAAGCACCTGCACCGTCTGCAGCACAGTCCCTTGCATGAAGTCCCTCCAGATGACTAGTACGATGTCGTGCACCGAGCCCAGCTCTTGGATCCCGTGGTTCTGCACGTGCACGCAGTAGGCGGCCAGCGAGTCCAGGAGGAGGACGATCTCAGCCTTGATCTCCGGGGCGAGCGGCATGGACCACAGCAGGAACAGCTCCTGCATCTTCAGCTCGTGCGACAGCTCGTACTTGATGTCAGTCAGCGTCTTCCCCACGTTGTTGTGGAGCTGCTTGATCGCCCGCAGCAGCGACTGCAGCAGTCGCAGCCAGTTCACGTGGTACTCGACGGTGTCACACTCGAACCTCTCCGAGACCTGGTCCGCATTCATGACAAAGAAGCCCTCCTGGTGGGTCTGCAGGGCCCGGCCTCGGCTGTGGCCCAGGTAGGAGGACACCATCTGTTGCCGCTCGGCGCTCACGTAGTACCCCGAGCTGCGAGGGAGCTCGAGCTCGAGGAGGCGGCAGATGCTGCTGGCGTACTCCTGCAGCTCACGGATGAGGTTGCTGGGGTTCAGGTTGCACAGCCGGTCGTTGGAGGTGAGGAGAGGTTCAATCTGCTGCACCAGCTGCTCGAACCAGTCCACGAAGACCCCGGACTGCGCCCTGTCGGTGACCTGGGAAGGGATGGAGTTGAAGAGTGCATGAAACAGCTCTAACAAGGCGCTCCTGAGGGAGACGCGGAACCTGACGTCCTCCTCGTTGCTGATGTGCTTGATCACCGTCTTCTTCAGCACCTCCAGCGCTCCTCTCTCGAAAAGGGAGCTCCCGCGCGTCTCAAAGAGCGCCTGCGCCATTGCGGGAAGGTTCGCATAAACCTTGGCAGTGGATCCCAGAAGGTTGATCAGCATCTCGTACTTGGGGCTGGGAAACCCTTGCTCATTCCCCACCTGCAGCTTCACGACCTCATCAAGGATCGGATTCATCAGGATGTTGTCCAGAAAGTTCTCCATGTCTTTCCAGATCCTTTCGCGGTAGTCCGACCAGCGGTCCAGCAGCGAGCACGGGAGGATGTTCGTGTTGACGAACGTGAGGGCGTGATGGCTGACCGCGTGCTTCACATACCTCCTCCAGTTGTCGTCCGAGCAGGCCAGCGCCAGCTGGGCAAGGAGGAGCTGGATGAACCCGACATGGGGGCGGCGGGCACTGTCCCCCAGGATCTCCTCCTGCCCGCACTTGAGCTTGCGAGCCATGCTGTCGATGAACGGCTGCCACTTGCCAGGATACACCAGCTGACCTGCCTGCACGGCTCGGCAGATGGCGCAGGATACCATCGTCCCGTAGAAGGTCACGCACTCGTCCCGGGCGTTAATGCCGGCCTCCTGCTTCTCCCGGGTCTTCTCCATCTCAAAGCCCAGCTTGTCGAAGAAGAAGGAGAGGGCGACGTTGAGGTTGCCCTCGAAAACGTTCCACTGCAGGAGCTGAAGCTTTGATTGGTCTGGGATGCTCAGGATGCCTTGGAGGATCTCGCAGAAGAGGCACATCTCTCCCTCGATGCCGTTCCTCTTCTCCTTGGACGCGGCCTGTGTCAGCCCCACCAGGGAGGCGTGCCTGTCAAGGTTGTCCTTGAAGGCCTGCACCACTTTCTCGCACACCCGCATGTCTCCCTCTGTCAGTATCTTGTGGCAGATCTTGTGCTGAGCCAGCCAGCCCTCCGTCATGTCCTCCGTGTTCTCCAGGTCCCTCAGGATTCTGCAGATCAGCGTCAAGACTCTCCTCTGCTGCGCAAAGTAGTGCTTGAACGCTTCGCGTTTGATGACTGCGTCGTTGGCGTCCGACGTGGACCTCTTGGCCAATAGGACGAGGTGGAGGGACCGCACGAGGTTCTCGCGCAGCTCCCTTGCAACCTCCAGGGCAACGCTGAGGATGGGATCGATCTCGTGGGAGGCTATCGGCTTGTCCTTCATGTCGGTGAGCCCGACCTTGGCGAAGTCCGCGAGCGCCGAGTCAGCAACGTACCTCTGCAATGCGTTCGGGCCGGCCTGCACCAGGATCTTCTCGAAGGTGAACACCTGTGCGAGCCTGCTCTCGATCTGGGCGGAAGACGACTGCAGCTGGGGCACAGGCTGGGCACTTTGCATCATGGAGAACTGGCCCATGGGGTTGCCCGGCGGAAGGTTCACTTGAGTTTGCATCTTGAGATTTTCTTCGAACTGACGCCTCTTCTCGTACCCCGCGAAGAAAGGGCCCAGGAGCTGCTCCCGAAATTCGCTCCCGTTGTTGCCGATGGCCTTACCGAAATCATCTGAGTCATCGCCGGCCAGGGCCCGTTCGAGGCTGTCCAGCTTGGCAAGATCGAAGACGGGGGGCAGCTCCAGATTCATCTGGGGCATCCCTGGCATTGAGCCCCCCATGGCGAACCCTGGAGCCGACGGAGCGGTTGCACCGCCAAACATCATGGTGTCGACGTACTGGCGGGCGAGGAGGATGGTTCACTCTCAGAACGTAGGAAGACCCTGCATTGAACGCACCTCTGCCCTCATGAAAGCCTCCTCATTAGCTCGACTGCCACAAGACGTCAGGTTGCTGCATCACAAGAATGGTGGAGAGCAGCAGCGTTCGGGATCAAAGGGCATGCTGAATGCGAAAGAGATGAAAACAAATCATTATTCCAGCCGTATAAGGCTAGCTTTCATGTCAACAGTAGATACAACACCAAGTGCAGGTCAAAAATGGCTGAAAATGCGATGGAAGCATAGGAGAATCAGAAGTCTAGGAGGAAACTCTTGCCAGAGCAGCTGTTGTGGGACATAAGAGCATACACGCAAACAAATCAGCAAAGGCACAGAAGAAGCTATTAAAACAGCGAGTGGTGTCGACGCTATATCAACAAAGCAGGCACGAGCCTATAGTAGAAAACACCAGACGATATTTCCTCCGCGATGTGGAGACAAAACCAGACTAATTGCATCATAGCAACAGGATAGAATGAAGTTCAAGAAAATCACAGAAGAAAGGAATGTGGAAATTGATGTACACTCCTGCTATCACCCAATGTCCGAGGCAGGACTGGGACATCGTGAGGGGCATCCCAGATGTGAGTTAAGGAAAGTGATGAGCAGACATGGTAGCATGAAGAAAGAGAAATTGAAGTACTGATAGGGTAAGCACGGCGAGGAGTCTGCGCTACACGCATGCTCGACGCCGAAGTACGCTGTGACAGAGTGGAGATGCGGAGCGGGTGTACAGATGAAGGAGGAGAGTGGAAAGAAACGTTGGCAGGGGAACAGATAGAACAAGCAGGAACAAGAAGGACAATCAGCATCAGCATCATCGGCAGCGGCAGCGGGAGCGGCAGACGCGGCAGACGCGGCAGAGCATTTCTGCCTGGGATCCCATCGTGCGCGAGGTGGCTGAGAACCCCTTCCACATACCCCATATTCGTACTAGATCATTGGGGGTAGGGGTACTTTCGAAATGTCTCTGGTCTACCATACTCGTGGTCACATAAATCCCAAGTCTTACTGAGCCCGGCGGTCCGACAGCCCCGGGGCCTCGACTACAAGGTTATGAGCTGCGAGATTCAGAATATGACCGGTACTTTCGATAGGTATGAAGGGGGTGGTGTATGCCACAGGCGCTGCGGCCTCCAGGGGAATGCGTGTAGGTGGATATCTGGTGAGGGGGGTGAGAAGAGAGGAGGAGGAGAGGAGGCGAAGGTAGACAACAGCACAGACACCAGGCTTGCCACTCAGCTGCAAGACTTTCATAGGGAAACGACGTCTGTGGATTTCCAGTCTGCAAAGGTCTGAAGTTGGAAGTGGAACCTTCCAGAAGTTTTCGGCTACAGGAATACATGAAGCCAGCACCGGCCATGCGCGATTTTCTTTTTGTCAGCCTTTTCCTGTGGATAACTCAGACAGGTAAGATGACTTGTCTTGTGTTTCTTGTGCCAATCTGCAATGTTCCTCTCTACATGTTTACATAGTGGAGGTGTTCCAAGTTTGCTTGGATCCCCAGAAAAAAATGTTCATGACGTTTGCTGACACTATCATTTTCCCACCAGCAGATGGATTTTTGACACCATTGAATCGACTTCCATGCACGAATTTCTTCCCGCAGGGTGAGAAGATCTTGCTTTCTGTGCATGCACCCATTGAGTCTCGGTGACCCATGGCGAAAGTCTTGTGCTGCATGCCAAGTTCCTCTATGCTGACAGCTCCTCTGGCATCAGGATGCCCTCTCGGCTTCCAATACCGTCTGAGCCCCTTGGCATTCGGCAATTCACCACGAAAGGACGCGAGTATCTGCTCTGTTTCCATGCTTGCGAAACAAAAAGGGCTGCGAGTGGGAACGGTAAGACCCCTTGCGGAGCATAAGGTTGGCTCACCTGTGAGCTACACCTGACAGGTGGCTGATAACAGAGCAGCAAAATTCAACTATGAGGTCTAGCGAGCTTTTGTCTCCATTGCCTATGGGCTCCTTGACTTCCGGCTAGATCTTGGACAAGATCGAGTGCGGAATTATCCTCGTTGGAACTGAAGTGAAGTCCTGCAGAGCTGGGAAAATGAACATAGGTGAGGGGAGATGAACGTAGGTGACTTGCACGTCGCTGACCGCTGCCCTCGATTGGCAGAGGAGGGGTTTGCCAGGGTGGACAAGAACGGTGCTCTCAAGCTGCACAACTGTTGGCCAACTCTCTGATATGTGCGGCCCTCCCTGGCTTGACGTCGCTGTTCAGGCCACATCTCTCGGCACATGACCACGGGAACATTTTTCAATCACGAAGAAGTGAGTTGAGACAGCCTGCCAGCGTCTTGGTGGCTGATTGGACGCGCAGAAAAGGGTTAGAGACCTGCTAGCGCACAAGACAGAAATCCTGAAGATGGCAAAGGTTGACCAGTACAACCCTGAGTTTTGCAATGTTGTTGACGTTTGACAAGGCACAAGACATCAAGGGAAATACCCTTATCCCCCTAAGAGCATATTTCAATGACCGGAGATTGCTCAAGGTCAGTTTGCATGAGGATTGAACTTCTTTCCTCAGGGTAAGTTTGTTTAGGTCGAGGTCGGGATTTGTAGAGGAAAAGCCAAGGTAGACAAGAGGGAAGACATGAAGGTCATGGCGTGTGTCTTTCATGCTCTCCTTGTCGTCCTGATATTTGTGGGGCTCAGAAACGCGATGTAGGCAGAGATACCAAGCGGGAACTCAAAGCGGCTGGTTATTAAACTTGGCGAATACATTCCATTCAAACCTGGATACAAATTTTGCATATAAGTGTCGGCATTCCCATTCAAGTTGAGTTTAAAGACGTTTTGATGTTCTGATCAAAGAATAAGCGGGGGGGAATCTCACGATCGACGAGAGATGATGATCTCTTTGTATTTTGACTCTGTTATGCCATGAATTGATCAGAAAAAGTCAAGAAGGATAAGAGAGGAGGTCACCAATTTTCTTGGAGTAGTCATCAAGAAGCTGTGCAGTATTCAAAAGCTCGTCCACGCTGGTCTCCAAGTCGGTGATTTGGTCTAGGAGGGGGTTCAATTCTTTCTTTTTCTTTTCCAAGGTCTCAAGATTCTCATTGATGTTGGAGGTAGCTGAGACAAGTTCCTTCATTTTCGCCTCAGTTGTGGTCTGCATCTTATCTAGTAGATTATATTCTTCGGACGCGGCTGTAATGACTCAGTCAGCATACAGAGGGAAATCATCGATGGAATGAACAATCGAGCGACAATACATTCTGAAATCATTGCCATCAAGCAGGACCATATTCACCGTAGAGGGAGCACTATCGAGATCATAGCATGGTATAAGTCTTTTCAACAGTGAGTCAGGTAGAACGGGAGGCTCAGGGGCATGAATGCAAAAGGAACAGGTCAAACAGAATTGAGAAACCAAAGAAGAAATTCGAGTTACAGGCATTGCATGAGACTGCGTTCCCCTCCGACAGGCAGGAATTCAGTGGGAGTGGGGAGGAAGATGAGGAGGAGTGAAACATAAGGACACTCACCCAGCATGTCGCCCTTCATCTGCTTCATCACCTTCTCCATCATCACCTCCCCCGCCGACGTCATTTCAGCAGGACGGCCTGTAACACCCCTACCCCCCAATTGACACATTCTCTAACCGGTGGTGAGAAATATATAAATCTAAAAAGACTTATTTCTGGACATGGTACAATGTTAAACACATGTAAATTCTTTTTTTATCTAAAACTGTTTTAGTTCGGGCTGGCCATGGCTGGGTGCGCTCTTCGCACTGCCTTCCATGTCAACTTCAACATGGCAGCAGGCAGGAGCCGCGAGGAGGTGTCTACCGTCGAGCATGCAGCCATGCTCCTACTGGATGCCCGGCTGAGACAACTTGCAGGCTGCTAGCTTCCGAGAGCTCGTCAGAATTAAGCGGCATCGTGGACCAACCTCTGGCCATGCAGCCCAGTTCGTGCAGGTACTGCGTTCTCATCCGGCGGAAGGTCGATTCAGAATCTGAATTTTTTCTGAAACGGATTTGAAGGCAAACTTTGTATCGCTCCCCAAGAAATATTCATTTGACTTTCTAATGTTTTGCTTGCGAAATCCTCGCCCATGCCCCCTGTTGGCCGTACTTTCGTTGTCTCGGTGTGTGAAGGATGATGATGAACAAATAGGTCACAGACCCTGGAAGCTCTTGCATTGAAATAGCTAGAGACGCCAACATCTGCACTGTGAGTCTTGCTGTCAAAGGGAATATCACAAGAATTTACGTGTTATGCTGATATGAAATCAGGACATCCCGTTGTATCGTGTCTTCAAGGACGGGAAGATGACGGAGCAAGAGAGCATCGAAGAATATCGTACTAGGGGGCAAAATGTACTTGTTTCGATGACACAAGACCTTGCAGTGCATGAAGCGGAAGAAGAGAACAAGCTGGTGTCGTTCCTACTTGGATGCTCCTTCTCATGGGAGGGGATGCTCACGGAGGCAGGAACGACTCTGAGCATTTCTTCCGTGGCTCAGCGTCTTATTTGCTGCAGGTCTGATACCCAGACACATCGAAGAGCATCGCAACGTCCCCATGTACATAACCAACATCCCAAACCGTACATCCGGGCCTTTCGGAGGCTTCTTAGTTGTGAGCATGCGGCCGTATCGCCCGGAACAAGTACCACAAGTAGCTGCCATCACGAGCAGGTGTCTGATGCGTCGAGGCCTCTGCTTGACGTGGCTACTGCTCTCACCCTCTTAGCAAACTTCAGGTTCCCAGGTGCTCATGGCGGCCCGATCCACTCCGGTGACCCGGACAAGATCGGCATTTCTCCCGACCGTCTCGGCCAGCCTGACTTTGGCGATGCCGTGACAATCCGTGCGTTTCGAATTCCCTATGATGGGCATGTAATGATGGCTCTCCCTTGGCAGGAGACGGGGAGCTGCCAGTATTCTGGGCATGCGGCGTCACCCCGCAGGTGAGGAAGTGGCGTTCACGGCATGTTTATCCGCCGACCTGACGTCTGTCCTTGGATTTTATTAGACTGCAATCATGGCGGCCGCCCTCCCGCTCGTCATCACACACTCGCCCGGACACATGTTCGTGACGGACATCCTCATCGAGGAGATGGATATTCAACAGTGTAGCACATAAAAAGGAACGCCTCGAGCTTATTCGAGGCTCTTGGCGGCCCTCAGGCATTCTCGGAGCCCTCGTCCTCGCCTTCAGTCCCCTCGGTCTCAGAACCTTCGGCATCAATGCCAATGGAGATCCCATCTTGAGCCGCTTCCCGGAGCTGCTCCATCCAGATCTGAACCTGCTGAATGTCAGGCTTGCAACACACTCTATTCAAATTGAAGAACCTCTTCATCTGTCGGGGGCCTGCCTCTCTCTTGCGTGAACAGGTCAATCAGCTGCTGCAGGATGTCTGAAGCCATGTCTTCTTCCTCTTCCTCCTCAGCATCCTCCTCCTCGTTGGCGTCGTTATTCTCCTCAACAGAGGTCGCGGAGAGGTTCAAGTTGATTGGCTGTATGTCTCCAGCCTTCGTCTTGTGCTCCTCATCGACATCCTTCTTCTTGGTTGTGGTCGGAGTGCCCTGAGGGTCTTCTTGCTTCTCGGCTTTCCGTTTCCCCAGGGAATGGTCGTCAACGGCTGGGTTGAGCTCTTCGATGGCAGACATGATCGGGTTGGACGAGATGGAGGGGGTCAGAGCAAGGAAACAGGTAAGGAAGCAGGATTCTTTTCCCAGCGGCGCGCGGGAGAGCAGGAGCGCTGGTCGAGGGAGATCGGAAGGAAAGGATTTGGGAGGGGCTTTTGGCGCGAACCTCGTTTCGGGTCCCAAATGTCGTTACAGTCCGTTATGAGATTATTGGGAACAGTTACCCGCCGTTGTTGTCTATTTGGGGAGTCAAATTACATGCACCACTGAGCATGGCGGGAGGACCGACGGGAGGCGAAGTGGAGGAGAGGCAGCGGAGCGACATGAGCAGCTTGCCGAGCCACTATGATGCCTGTTGCACAGAGAGGAGGAGCGCTCGAGACGAGGTTGATGGCATCGAGAGCTCTCGTGGGGAGCGATTGCTGACTTTTTTGTGCAGTCGCGCCGAGTCAAGCTTGTGCTGTCCTGCGGGATCCTGCTGACCGCCCTTTTCCTTCTGGTGACGATTGTGGTTCAGCAAAGGTACGAGTATGACCTGATGGTGACTGGAGCGCCTCACGGCTGTGATTGCAGCCATGGACAGCGAGCGTACTTGGAAGAGGATCTTTCTGCTCTAGGTGACCCAACGAAGGTATTTGCTGTTGCTTCATGGAGAAAACCTCATGTGAGGCGTTTGAACCAGTCGAGCTCTTCTTCTATCAGACAGCTTGCTGACGAGCGGATCAATCACTGGATGCAGCTCAAGCTGCCCAACCTGGATGCCAACTTCTTGGATAGCGCAGGCCGTCGAGGATCTAGCTCCCGCCCTGTTCCGATGTCCCATGCAAGTAGCTCGGAAGATTTTCAGGAGGAGAGAAAGAAGATGAGGGAAGAGATGATCAAGTCGTTCTCAAGGAAGGCTGAAGAGAGCACTGCAGAGGCTCTTTCTTCCCAAGGCTCAAACAGCATGACCTTTCCTACTTTAAGTGGAATGGAAGGTACTTCCCAGCACTACGTTGTCCCGACAATATCTCCCCCGGAAGAGGTAAGGACGCGCTGGTTCACCTTTCTTATCCTCCCTCGTTTTCTCTTGCTCTTCCTACTTGATGCGATCATCTTCCTCCTGATTTGATGGCATCCTGTGGTTGATTCTGTGGGTCAGGCACAGGCATCGCGTTCCAGGACAAGAGAGCATGCAAGCCGACTACAAGCATCTGCTCTTGCCTCCAAGAGGAAAGAGGATGCTTCAGCGTCAGCGTTCGTTGGAGGAAAGTTCAGCTCGAAAGCAAGCAGCATTGTTGATGACCTCATCTCAAAGTCCCTGGTCATCTCAAAGTCCCTTGGAAAGAGCGACCAGAGCTTGAAGCGCAATGCTCTCAACAGGATCCAAGCCTACCATCAAGCAGTGAGCAGCAGTGGGAGCAGCAGCAATGTTATTCATTATCCGGGGGAGAATTCAGATCGGTCAGACAAGCCAGAGACGAAGAGATTTGCCAGGAGTCCGAGAGAGCATCTCGACGAAGGAGATAGCACGAGTGGAGGGGTGAGTACACGGGCACCCGATCTGGCGATACAGCTTACGCCGATCTTCAGGTGCAGGACCATCTCTTTGATCTCTACACAAGCAACAAGAATGCACAATCTTATCTAAACCAGGATGGAGGACGTCATAGAGGTAGTAGGATGTCTATCAACAACCTCTCTGACTCCGGTACAGGCATGGCTCAACTCTCAGCTCCCGCTAGCGTTGCCATGGCCTCCTCCAGAGATGACGTGGACACCGATGGAGGAGGGGGGGATCCGTTCAACAATGCCCTTTTCAACATTGTTCACGATTGCTCCCTCGGTGGACCAACTTGCTGATGTTTCAATCTGTATAGAATTCTTTACAACACTACGATCGTTACGTGCTTGCCATCAAAGCTCCAATCACTCCTTCTCACCTGACATCCCTCCCAATACAGCTGGAGGACAAACTAGAGAGGAAGTTCAACTCTCTCACCCTCGACGATTACATCAACAGCGCTCTCCCTCAGTCTCAAGTCATCGCTCCTTTCTTCTCATAAACCTTCTTGCTACATGCTTTCTCTTGGTACACCTCAACTCCTGACTCTCGCCAAGACCACTCTCCCTGCTCCCAGGCCAGACGGATTCGAACCGCCCCCCTCGCGCCCTAGCGCTGGCCCTTGTGTGTTTGGTGTTGATGAACACCTGTATCTTGGTTCCTTGACCGTCTCGTCGTCCTCGAGCTTACGAGCGCTCGCCACGGATGCGGCGGGCAAGCTGGATGTCCTTGGGGAAGATGGTCACACGCTTGGCGTGGATAGCGCACAAGTTGGTGTCCTCAAAGAGACCGACAAGGTAGGCCTCAGAGGCTTCCTGAAGGGCCATGATGGCAGAGGTCTGGAAGCGGAGATCCGACTTGAAGTCCTGGGCAATCTCACGCACGAGACGCTGGAAGGGAAGCTTGCGGAGAAGGAGCTCAGTCGACTTCTGGTAGCGACGGATCTCACGAAGAGCAACGGTTCCAGGCCTGTAGCGATGGGGCTTCTTGACGCCTCCGGTGGCGGGGGCGGACTTACGGGCGGCCTTGGTGGCAAGAGCCTTGCGGGGAGCCTTTCCTCCGGTAGACTTACGGGCAGTCTGCTTGGTACGCGCCATGGGTGATGGGAGGAGGGGCGAGGAGGCGGGTTTTAATAGGGGGCGGGGTTGACGTTAGATCGGAGGCAGGGACAGGTGTGTTTCAAGGACCCTACGAGGAGACCAGGGAAAATAAGGCAAATCAGGGGGTACAGGTGTGCAGGGTGATAAAGACACGGGTGGAAGAGAATAGGAGGGAGGGGGTGAGGAGGAGGTGGGGAGAGAAAAAAAAAGAAATGACCCCCTACCCAGAAGACTACAGGAGAAAAGGCAGGGGAAAGGAGGTAGGGTAGGGACAAAGTAGGGGAGCACCGGGTGGGCATAGGAGAAACACAGGAGATGGAAGAAGGGTGGGTGGGGATTTGAGTTTCCGAATACCACCGGTGCCTAATGAGATCAAAAGAGGAGAGGTGGGTGGGGACGATGGAAAACAAGAGCTTCAAGGACCGGGTCTATCACAAGAAATAGGTGTGAAATCAGGTGGTAGGGGTAGTAGATCACCAATTCAAACACAACTGGTCTGATGAGCCGGAATTTTTGAATGGATCTGATCACCCCTACCCCCTCATTCCCACCTTCAGAAAGACAAAATACCCGGTTCTCAACAGTGCACCCCACCCCACCCTGCTTGCAACACCTGTGTTTCTCCTATTATCTACTACCCCTACCACCTGATTTCACACCTATTTCTTGTGATAGACCCGGTCCTTGAAGCTCTTGTTTTCCATCGTCCCCACCCACCTCTCCTCTTTTGATCTCATTAGGCACCGGTGGTATACGGAAACTCAAATCCCCACCCACTCTTCTTCCATCTCCTGTGTTTCTCCTATGCCCACCCGGTGCTCCCCTACTTTGTCCCTACCCTACCTCCTTTCCCCTGCCTTATCTCCTGTAGTCTTCTGGGTAGGGGGTCATTTCTTTTTTTTTCTCTCCCCACCTCCTCCTCACCCCCTCCCTCCTATTCTCTTCCACCCGTGTCTTTATCACCCTGCACACCTGTACCCCCTGATTTGCCTTATTTTCCCTGGTCTCCTCGTAGGGTCCTTG